TGTTTCCATTACTCCTTCTCTAATTGCTGTTGTGAAGATAGTTAACTTTTTTATTCTCTAATGCAAGGCGAGATTTTTCGAGGCTCGCATTCATATTCTCTCTCTATTTAACTCACATATTTAGCTGTTCCTCACGTTCTTAGCTCTTTCCTCGCGTTCTCTTGGTCTTTACCTCACGATTCAAGTCTTCACGCTCTTTTTTGTCTTCTCTTTCGATCTCTCAATCTCTCCTTTTCGCTCTTCTCTTTCGATTCTCTTCTCTCTACCTTTTCAATTCTTTCCTGGGATTTTAGCACTAATGAAAGATTTCTAAATTTTTGTTCCCAGTTTTTCCTAACTTAACTTCCAGCATTCATCCAAAAATGGTTATTCCTCCCATATTTGCAAGATAAACTTAAACTACCAGGGGAAATGAACAACGGGTATCAGAAACGGAGGGTTCAATTCCTGCTCCGTTCAAAACTCGTAAATAAACCAGAGGGCTCGATTCCCTGCGTCACATTAAACATATGGTATTAATGTGAAAACGAAGGGTTCTATGCCGGCTTCCGAGCAAACAGCAAGTAGTTGGGGTCTCCCTTGGGACCATCCAACTTCTCAACAACAATCAAGATGTGTCTACGACAGTTCCCTTGATATAATAGAGCTCATTGAAACGAAATTGTCACTGGAAAATCTTAGGTCCCTAGACGTTCGAAATCCTCCAATGTGTTTCTAGCTCACACAAAATTAGGTGGCAGAATTAAACTATTATTCCTCCTGACTTGACTTGCAATTAAATTGAGACTAACAATCACCAAATCTTTTAAATTACCTGTACTGTAGTCCTACATAGAGAAATGATTTTCATGGATTGGTCGGTAACCGTCTGGGTATGCTCGGCGTTGAAGTTCCAATGGTAGATTCGAGAGGAGTTGAAATCTTGATTCAGTAGAGTATGATCCTGGCAGGTCGCCACTTAGTGTATGCGACTCTGCCCTGTAACCAACTTCAGTCCAGTATTACTAAGGCTGGTCTCCTCAGGAAAAATTAATGAATAGAAAAAGACAAAACTGACAAACATAACAATTTTATATTTTCTAAAACTATTAAATTGTTTATATTGTCAGTTTTTGTTCTTTTTCTATTCTTAATTTTCCTGAGGAGGAGCCAAGCCCTTAGTAATATGACTGATGTTGTTACAGGGCGGTTCGCCTTCACAGGGTGGAAAGAAATGTTATCAACAAAATGTGTTGGAAAATAAGAAAAAGTTTTATGGAGTGAGATTTAATAAGTTAAGGAAGCCTTGAGAAAACAAATGGATTTGTCAGTTAAATAGGAGCGGAGAGTTATTAAAATGGAGAGTTAGAGGTTTGGGAAGATGGAGGGAATATTTTGAGGAATTGTTTAAATTTTGATGAAGATAGGGAAGCTGTGATTTCGTGTATAGGGCAAAGAGGAATAACATCTTGTGGAGTGAGGAGAGACAGTTTGAGTGTGGGGGGAAGTTTGTGAGGCATTAGGTAAAATGAAAGGGGTATAAGGCTGCAGGATTGATGGGAGGAAGATAGAAATGTTAAAAGCAGGTGGGGATATAGTTTTGGAGTGCGTTGGTGCAAAATTATTTAATAATGTACTGGAAGAGGGTAAGGTACCTAGGGATTGGCAGAGAGGCATGCATAGTTCCTTTGTTATAAGGCAAAGGGGACAAAAGAGAGGGCAAAAATTATAGGGGGATAGTTGTTGGTTATAACTGGTAAAGTGTGTGGTAGTTATTATTGAAGAATTAATGAGTAAGACAGAGAATAGTGGATTGCAGATGAACAAGCGTGGCTTTAGGTTAGGAAAGTAGGGGGGGTGTGTGGACAGGATTTTACAGTGAACATATATAAGTGAAAGTATATAGATAAGGCAAAAGAGGTCTTTGTCGGAATTTAAGGATTTTGGAAAAAGCATATGACAGGGTGTGGATAGGGGGCAAATGTTGGCAGATGTTGCAGGTATGTATGGTTGAGGAGGTGGTTACTGAAGCAGTGAAAGAGTTTTTTACGAGGATAGTGAGGTCATGTTAGAGTATGTAGGAAAAGATGGAAATTATTTCCAGTAAAAGTAGCCTTACACAAGGATGTGTGATGTTCACCGTGGTTGTTTATTTATTTATAGATGGGGTTGTAAGAGAGTAAATGCGGGATCTTGGCAAGAGGCGTGGAGTTTAAAAGATAAAGAATCACACTTTAAGTGGGAGTTGTCACAGTTGCACTTGGCTGATGACACTGTGTCTTGGGGAAGATTCTGAAAGAGAGTTGCAGAGAGTGGTGGATGAATTTGGTAGGGTGTGCAAAAGAAGAAAAATTAAAATTGAATTCAGGTGAAAGAGTCAAGGTTATGAGGATAAAAAAAGATTAGGTGATGAAAGATTGGAAATAGATTGGACGGGGAGAGGTTAGGAGGGGTGAATGTATTCAGATATTTGAGGAGTGGACGTGGCAGCGGATGGAGTCTATGAAAGATGAGGTTGAATCGTAGAATTGATGAGGGGAAAAGGGTGAGTGGTGCACTTAGGAGTCTGGGAGACAAAGGACTTTGTCTTGGAGGCAAAGAGGGGTAAATGTATGAGAGATAGTTTTACAAAAAACTCTTATATTAGTGTGAAGCATAGGTGATGAATGTTTTGCAGCGAGGAGGAGGCTGGAGGCAGTGGAGATGTCTTGTCTGAGGCAATGTTGTGGTTGAATTATATGCAGAGAATTTCGTTGTTGGAAGTTAGGAGGAGGTGCGGGATTACAAAACTGTTGTCCCAGAGGGCTGAGGAAGGGTTGTTGAGGTGGTTTTGGACATGTTGAGAGAATTGGAGCGAAAACAGTGGACTTCAAAGAGGTGTATCAATCTGTAGTGGAAGGAGGCGGGGTGGGGGTCGGCCTAGGAAAGGTTGGATGGAGGGGTATACAAGGAGGTTTTGTGGTGCGAGGGCTTGGACTTCCAGCAGGCTGCTTGAGCGTGTATTGATAGGAGTGAAGGAGACAAATGGGTTTTTTATACTGACGTGCTGTTGGAGTGTGAGCAAAGTAACATTTATGAAGGGGTTCAGGGAAACCAGCAGGCCGGACTTGAGTCCTGGAGATGGAAAGTACAGTGCCTGCACTCTGAAGGAGGGATGTTAATGTTGCAGTTTAAAAACTGTAGTGAAACGCACCCGTTGGCAAGGACAGTGATGGACCCCTGTGAAATGATGGTGAAAGTTTTTTTTTCGGGCCACCCTGCCTTGGTGGGAATCGGCCAGTGTGATGATATAAAAAAAATTATAAAAAAAATGTTTTCTGTTCTCGTTTCCTCATGTTTTAAAAATTTATTATAAACTTTTCAAGTTGTAGAATGTTTCTACTAAAATGATCTAACTAAAAATTTTATCTTGAATATTTCAATGTTTACTCATGACCCTCACCCCTCTGATGTAGTTTGCATGGCCATAATTGTTTACACCAGTGGTGATTTCTCTCTGGGATGCTTGTCCTCATTTTATTTTGCCTGCTGGGCACATTAACAGAGGGGCATCATTTAACAGCTTCATTTTTCAGGTAGGCCTAACAAGTACTGCACCTTATGTGCCAGAAACTACAGTATTTTGAGTTGTGTATGTGTACTATATTAGTATAGTTTAAGGTAACTGAAGTTCGTAGTTTATTTTCTGAAACTAGTGGGGGTAGACACGTAAATCCTTTTAAACCAGAATCATACAAACCAAGAATTTCCTTTTAATGGGGAAGCATATATATTTTCCTATTTTTCCTCATTATTAACCAGACCTGGAGTCCTGCAGGGGAAAAGTACATCCTGCACTCTTAGGAGGGGTTTGCGATATTTGCTGTTAGAGCAGTATCATTCTGCCACGCCTCTGGAAGTCGGTGATAGTGCGAAATGGATGGTGAAATGATTTGAAAGTGTTTCTTTTCCTTGGGTCACATGTCTTGGTGGGAGACGGCTTGTGTGTTAACCATTATCGGGCAAAGGCAAAAAAAATTACTGAAAAAAATACCATCTTCAAAACTAGAACTCCTAAAATCCAACTGGGGATTATTATTTGTATATTTTGTTATACCCCAGTTGTGTATTTATTCGTAAAATTGTCTCCAACAGAATAAGCAACAGTTATATTGGCAGTTGCCCAGACTTTCATTTTTGGCAACTTACACTAAATTTGATACTGCTCACACAAAGTTAATTCTAAATTTTTTTTTTTTTTCTACCCAATTAAGTAATTGTTCCTCATTGTGTTAGAATTCTTTATTTCAGTGTTGCTTTTGGGAATATATTACCTCTTTGAATAATATTTATTATGTTTATAGTTTTATTTCTTCTTAGATTTAGTAATTTATACAGAAGGGTTCTTAGCCTTTGCTCCTGACCCTTTAGTCAGTTATTTACAATATGCATGGCTTATAGAGGAAAGATTCCTTTCCACTCTTACCATGGTGATGAAAGGGAAAATAAAATAAGAACGAGAAACTATTAAGACAAAGTCAAAAAACTCAGGTGGTATGCATTACTTGCCTGTGTTAGTGTGACTAAGTGTAACAGGATGTAGCTAGATGTGCCATTATTTTGTGTGTTATGGAAAAAAAAAAAGGAAAAAAAAAAAGTGTGGTAAAAAAGACTCCAGCAATTGTGGTTAAAATAATTATTATTTGTTTCCAGTCATTTTGTAGGACAATAGTACCTCCCGGGTGGTTGCATGTCTACTATTTGTGAAAAGGATTGCAGGGAAACTGGCTTACTGGCATGTGAGTTGGCGGTGGAGGAAGTAGAGTACCCTGTTTCAGCAGGTGGTTGTGTGGATAATTATTTGCAGTCTGAAGGGGCTCAGAACTGTATTATCCTCACTTATATCTAGGCAAGGCGTGATAGAGGTAAATGATAGTAAACGTGTTATTTTTCCTTAGGGTCACCCTGCCTTGGTGGGAGGCAGCTGGTGTGTTTTAAAATAATTTTTTTATGAAAAATCTCTTATTTCAGTGAAGTAATAGCTTTCTCATTTTTTTTTTTTTTCAGGGGAACTGAACTCTGTAGAAATGTTCGCCACAGTCAGCACTCGGGTAAGAGACCTCTAGATTGTTAATATTATTTTTTTTTTTTTCAGTGAATCGTCCATATCCAACTGAGGCAGTGACCTAATTTATACAGGAAAAGGGGTTACTAGCCCCTTGCTCCCAGCATTTTAGTAACTTCTTACGACACACATGGCTCACAGAGGAAGAATTCTTTTCCACTTCTCCATGAAGATATATGACGACTGGGTGGATGTATATTAGAGCTGATTTCTTCTATTCTGTTTAGTACAATATGCAGTACACTACTGTATAAACATTTAAAAATGTACTAAAAATGTTATAAATGGCGCAAAGGTGACATTAAAACGATATCAGAGATAGTTAATGTAAACCCCTACTACCATTCTATGATATGTTCCATGCACACTATAATACTGACAAGATAATGATCTTGGATCATTATCTTGTCAGTGAGAAGGAACATTGTGAGGCCAGGATGGTAGATGAAGAGACCATGAATATCATGTCTTCAAATGTGTATTCTGAAGGGTATTAAATATTCTTTGAGGGTGAAGAAACATCTACATAAGCAAAACAAGGGTTAGGACTCATATTAGAGTTGTGTATTAGGGCCAATTTAACTCTGGCATCTTGTGAAGGCTTGAATAAGACCAGCTGTTGGTGTGATTTACATAAACTTATTTTTTTAAATATTCCTACCTCATAGGGTGCAGACTCGACAATTCATACAGGAACCATGGAATCGGCTGCCTTAGCTATTGCTAATCAAAGTGAGATTGGAAGGATCCGACAAGAGCTGTTTCCCGTGCCACTACCAAAACCCAAGTTTAAAGTTGCAAAAAAGTAAGTTAAGGCTTTTAGTCTTTGTTTTAATATACTCATTGATAACTTTTATGCAAAACAGTTTTTCAGTGGTTGGTTGTCTGTGGCAGAAATAAGAGTATGGGAATAATGTTTATTATTTTTGTTTAGTAAGTTTGCACACTTCCCTTACACATTTCTCAGGATCTTTCATAATCCAGACCATATGTTATTTATTGAACAACCCTCGGGAAAATTATAACTTGACATACTCCTACCAGTCAGTTGATGTACCACTAATTCTTACACATGCTTTGGGCCCATAATAAACATCTAACTGCATTAAGCAGGGTTCCTCCAGAATAATAAATCAAGGTGTAATACTGACACACTTTTTGCAGTGAAGTTATTATTGGCACTGTTGTTTAACTCATGAGTTGGCTTTGTTTAGGGCATAGTGATGTCTAAACGTGCCAGTTTCTTGCTATTGAAGTTGATGCTTTCAGTCTAGACACAATCACCAGAATAATGAAAATGTGATTGACTGTTGGTCCCTAGTAATTGTGATAAGCGTTTGGCAGACACTCCTGCCAGTCTATATGGAGAGCTGCCATTGCCTGAGATGATGGGCCTAAGGGGTATATTTGCTTTATGGGTCTTTGGTAGGCCATAGATATGTGCTTGTAGGGAAGTGAGTGGGCAGCCAGTGGCACAATTTCCTGCCACATCAGTGAAATGGTCACCCTGAGGTGCACACCAGTACTTCTCCAGGCTGCCGACCATATGTTCTCCCTCTCATTATAAACATACCCACTGAGTGCATACACATCCTTACCCAGGAGAATGTTCTCGCTGAATAGGTTGTGAAATGTTCCTGCCTTTCTTTCAGTGGAGTCTTTCAAGGTACAGTTTAAAGTTGAGTACAGATTATTTCAACCCAAGACACTGGGTCATTTTAACAAGGTAGCGAGGTATTGTTTCGACCCCATACACTGGGTCATTTTAACATGGTGGCAAGGTTTCGGTGGTATGTGCCTCAGAGTAGGGACCTCTTGTCTGGAATAATTGCCACTATTCCCCATCATTTCTTCAGGGATAAATAGTGGGGATATGACCAGTGACATGAAACTAATTATAAATATGGATTATGGAATGTGAATACAGTGAAACCTCTACTTACGAGTTTAATCCGTTCCATGACCTTGCTCGCAACTGGATTTGCTCGTTTGCAGAGTCAATTTTCCTCATTTAAATTAATTGAAATGGAATTAATTCGTTCCAGTGGAATTCCAGGCACGAGAAAATACTTTAATAATTTCCCTAATATCAGCTCTACAGCTTATTTATCTATCACAATTTATGCAATATGACATAAACAATATTAATAACATAGAAACATGATATACGTATACACTAGAATGAATAAAATACATGTCATTAGGTATGTGGCTAGTGGTGGTGACAGCAGCCATTCCTGCTCCTGACTACATGTGTAAAGAACCTAGGATAACCCAAAAAAGTCAGTCAGAGTGACTTATAAGTGCTACACTCTTAATGCTTCACTTAACCCTTTCAGGGTCTAAGGCCAAAATCTGAAGTGGTGCCCCAGTGTCCAAGAATTTCCAAAAAAAAAATTTATTTTTTCTAATGAAATGGTAGAGAATGTTTTTGTGAAGGTAATAAAACAAAAAGTACGAAATTTGATGGAAAATTGATGAAATTATGCTCTCGCGAATTTTGATGTGTCAGCGATATTTACGAATCGGCGATTTTGCCGACTTTGACTCCCATTTTAGGCTAATTACATTATTCCAGTCGACCAAATTCTTAGCTATTTCATTTGTATTACTTCTGTTCTATCGATTGAGCACAAGAAATCGCCAAGTCAACTGTCTCTACTACAAAATAAAGTGATCGGAAATTGGTAATTTGGCCAATTTAACACAAAGTTCAAAATATTCCACTTTCAAAATAGGGTCCAGAATAAACAATGTAGGTATTCCTGGCACTAAACTAACATTTCCTCTGTTCATTAGTTATGTTTTGAGGCTTTACAAATAAATTCCATTTTGATTTTTTATTCACATAATGAATTTTTATTCACACCAAAAAATAGAAGATTTACTGTTATGCAATATTGTAATAATTGTATAAATATCATCACCACATTTGTGAATGTATATTGACCCACCACTGGCGTTGTATTAGACCGTGTGAGGTCCTTTGTTTACTCTTAATCATCGTCTAAAAATTTTAACATTTTTCCGCTACATTGAGGCGCAGTTTCAAGGCCATTTCCCCCCTCCAGTGCCTAAACCAATCAAAAACAATCTCTATTTTTCTGGTAATATGTCTTCCCATTCTATCAAATGAGACCAAGAATCAGAAATACAACTATAAAAAACATATGAAAAAACACTGCATAGTCGCTGTTTTTAATCCGAAAATTCGGGCTCAGTTTTTTTTATTTCTCCCCCTCTCTCTCATTATACACAGTGTGCTTCAGGATTTGTTTTATGTGGTGCACACATACCAACATAGATGTATTCCTCTCATATCTAGGCCCAAATTACCCCGGCGTTTTAGTTTAATTCAGAGTGACTGAGCTCATGCGTAGATCGATGGTTTGTGGAGGACCCCTGAGCGTAAAGCCGTAGATCTACGGGAGCGGACCCAGGAAAAGGGTTTTAATTGGCTACAACTCTTAATGTCTACACTTAATTGCTACACTTAAATTTGCTACACTTAATTGCTACACTCTTTATGCTATACATTGCCACTAGCTCACTGCTGCTTCATGTTGTCTGCCACTGCTGCTTCATGTTTTTCTGCCACTGGCTTGCCTTCAATGTTGCTGCCACTGCTCGCTTCATGTTGTCTGCCACTGGCTGCTTCATGTTGTCTGCCAGCTGCTGCTATCATGTTGTCCTCCACTGCTGCTTCATGTTGTCTGCCACTGCTTGCTTCATGTTTGTTCCTGCCACTTGCTGCTTCATGTTGGTCTGCCACTGATGCTTCATGTTGTGTGCAGGGCCACTGTACCCCCCATGATTGTCTACCATGATGTCCGCCAAAGAATCGAACATTTCTGCTATTTTGAAGCTCAATTTCATTGTGAAACCAATTAAAGACATATTTATTTTTGTAGTATATCTTCCATTTCTATCACATGAGACCAAATAAAAAGAGAATACACAGCCATAAAAAACCATCTCGAAAATATACCGCAAAGGGGGGCTAATGGCTGAGAAGTGAACTCTTTATTTATGGGTCCAGTTTTTCATTTTTGGTGTAGTTAAGAAGCAATCTTTACATCCATACATTGCCCAGGTTTTCAATAAGATAGTCCCAACAAACAACGAGATCCAATTCCCCTAATCAAGACAAGATCCCCCTCAACTGCCGAGATGTGAGAGGCTCTCCCTTGAGGCCCAACATCACATCGGAAATTTTGGCTCGCATCTGGAAGCAAAAAAATCAACCAAGAGCACAGCTCATATCTGGAAAAACTCACATGTGGATCACTCATACGTAAGTAGGTTGCCAACTGTAATAGATATTGATAGTTTTACTTGTTTAGTGATAGGATTTCTGTAATGATAGTGTAAATTTGATATTAGTAATGGTATATATTTAATTCAATGAATAACTAAGATAAAAAGGGAGCCTTTTTAAGACTTTCTAATTTTGTTTCACACAGTAATAAAGAGAAGAATTTTATTAATAAATTCATGATTTTTTACATTTCAGAGGGATTCTCCACAAGAATGACAAACTTGGACTATGGGGAATATTTTTACCCACAGATGAACCAGTTGTGTATCGGACACAGAGGTACCGCTTTGATGAACTTCAGCAACGTCCCATACAGTTTCAACAATTCTTCGCCACGCGAAGCTTTTTTCAGGCTTTTGGAATGCTGTTAGGCATGGTTTATTTTGCTTTCATGTGTTACTTTGGCTGGACTAGGAATCTTCTTTTTAAGGTATTTTATTATTTATGTTCATCATTCAGTGATTATATGGTAAACATGAAGATTCACTTCACTGTAAGAGAGTTTGCTTGTTTTGTGTAAAATGATATAATATTGTTCATCCACTAACCTTTGCAATTTTTCTTTAGAATCTCCCATAAGCACAGTATCATCAGCAAAAAGTAACCGTGTCACTTCCCATTTTGAATTTGATTCCCCATAATTTAATCCCACCCCTCTCCTGAACACCCTAGCATTTACTTCTTTTACAACCCCATCTATAAATATATTAAACAACCATGGTGACATTACACATCCCTGTCTAAGACCTACTTTTACCGGGAAGTAGTCTCCCTCTCTTCTACACACCCTAACCTGAGCCTCACTATCCTCATAAAAACTCTTTACAGCATTTAGTAACTTACCACCTATTCCATATACTTGCAACATCTCCTACATTGCTCCCCTATCCACTCTCACATGCCCTTTCTAAATCCATATAAATGCAATAAAAACTTCCCTACCTTTATCTAACTACTGTTCACATATATGCTTCAATGTAAACACTTCATCTACACATCCCCTACCCACTCTAAAACCTCCTTGCTCATCCGCAATCCTACATTCTGTCTTGCCTCTAATTCTTTCAATAATAACCCTACCGTACACTTTTCCTGGTATACTCAGTAAACTTCTTCCTCTATAATTTTTAACCTCTCTTGTCCCCCTTCCCTTCATATAAAGGGACTATACATGCTCTCTGCCAATCCCTAGGTATGTTCCCCTCTTTCATTCATTTATTAAACAAAAATACCAACCACTCCAACACTATATCTTCCCCTGCTTTTAACATTTCTGTCATGATCCCGTCAGTTCAAGCTGCTTTACCCCTTTTCATTCTATGTAATGCCTCGCGCACCTCCCCCATACTCACATCCTGCTCTTCTCAACTCAACTCAACACACAACTCAGGATATAAATAACCATAATTTAAACCTAGAAGATGATTGATCATGTTGACCCTGATCTAAACCTCCATAATCTGACACCCAATCAAAACCTATTGGAAAGTAACTGCCTTTATTACACAGCATCACAAGCCAGCACTATCCTAAACAATGCTAAAAGTCTGTCAGTACTTAACTACAACATCAGGTCCTTAAGTAAACAATATGATGACCTCCTGGCACTCCTTGAATCACTAAAGACACCCTTCTCCTGCATTATTCTTACTGAGACCTGGCTTAAGCAGGACACAATAGATATCTACCCTCTACCAGGATACACAGCAACTCACAACTGCAGACCAAACCAAGTTGGGGGTGGTATTGCAATCTATTACTCTAACCAATTATCTTGTATTAGCACCACTTGCTTAGTGATGAATATGGGGAATACATTTTTGCTAATTTTACTGTAAAAAACCTTAAGACACCTATAACAATCGGTGCCATTTACCGGATACCTCACACAAACATCCCAAATTTCAGTGAGAAATTAGTCACTAATAACAGACAGACAAATGAATAAGCACCACCTTCTCTTAGCTGGAGACTTCAACATCAACCTTGGCATACTAGATGATCAGCCTGTAACTGATTTCATCAACAATATGAACAACACACTTCACTTCTCATACCAACAATAACTAAACCAACCAGGCTCACTGAGACAAGTGCAACCATAATAGACCACATATGGACCAATATACTAGCCCCCCTTAAATCAGGGATAATCACAGATAGTACTACAGACCACTACCCTACCTTCCTCCTGACAAACAGTAGTAAACCACCACTTGAATACAACAAAGTCTCATTTAGACTCCATGACTAGGCCTCAATAAGGAAGTTCACAGCTGACCTAGAGACTGTTCACTGGCCTACAGAATTCTCCAAGCCAATGGTATTGACGACTGGACAGACATTTTTCTTAACAAATTACTTAGACTATACAACAAACATTGTCCTATAAAAACGAAACAGATCACAAACAAACGGCTTGGTTGCCCATGGCTAACCAGCACCATTCTGAAATCCATTGACAAGAACACCAATATGAAAACAATATAGACGAGGCTTAATACACAAAGATATTCTTAAACACTATTCATCAGTTCTCACCAAAGTAATAAAGAAAGCCAAACAACTATACTACTCCAGTAGATTCACAGACACTAGAGGAGATATAAAAAAGACCTGGAAAACACTCTCTCAGATTCTAGGGACCCACAAACTGAAAAAAAAACAAGAATATTGTCCTAACTAAACCTAATGAAAACACCACTACATCCCACTGACACAGCTAACAAGATAAACGACTTCTCTCAAACCATAGGATCTAATCTCGCCAATAAAATCCCACATACCAATGCCCATGCCGGGGACTACCTAGATGGATTTCCCAAATTCCTTCTATCTTGCACCAACTGAGCCCACGGAAGTCACTGAGATTATAAAGTCACTTAAAAATAACTCGGGGAATCTGTCTCGTGTCCCACCATTACTGTACAAGCAAGCGGCCCATGTCCTTTCGCATGCTATTTCATTACTTTTTAACAAGTAACTAGAAACTAGCACCTTCCCGAAACTACTCAAGATGGCAAGGTTGCACCAATACATAAAGGTGGTGATCCTACAGACTTAAACAACTATAGGCCAATATCAAACTTACCATTGCTATCCAAAATCTTTGAGAAACTCGTGCACAGGAGACTATGTTCATTTATAACGGCACAAAACATACTCAACCCTGGCCAATTTGGATTCAGGAAAAATAAAAGCACTAATGATGCAATCATAAAAATGCTAGATCTGCTTTACACAGCATTGGAAAATAAGGAATATCCGCTAGGAATTTTTAAAGACACAGCATCAACAACACGGCCACTTGATACTGGAGTTCCGCAGGGAAGTGTCCTTGGTCCCCTGCTCTTCCTCATATACATCAGTGATCTTCCAAACGTATCCCAACACCTGAAACCCATTCTCTTTGCTGACGACACGACTTATGTCATCTCTCACCCTAATCTTGCCACCCTCAACACCATTGTTAACTAGGAGCTGATCAAAATATCGACTTGGATGACAGCCAATAAACTTACGCTTAACACTGACAAAACCTACTATATTATGCTTGGTAGCAGAGCAGGAGATGCACAGATTAACATTAAGATCGACAACACTCTAATTACCAGACATAATGAGGGCAAATTCCTAGGCCTATACCTTGACAACAACCTGAATTTCAGCACCCATATCCAACACATAACCAAAAAAGTATCCAAAACGGTTGGGATCCTCTCCAAGATACGATACTACGTGCCGCAAAATGCCCTTCTCGCACTATACCACTCACTTATTTATCCATACCTCACCTATGTTATTTGTGCTTGGGGATCAACTGCAGCAACACACCTAAAGCCAATAATAACCCAACAAAAAGCTGCAGTAAGAATAATCACTAAATCCCATCCCTGGCAACACACCCCCCCCACTCTTCATAGATCTAAACTTACTCCCTGTTCAGTACATCCACACTTACTACTGTGCAATCTACATCTACAGGACCTTAAACTCCAATATCAACCTTGACCTAAAATGCTTTCTTGATAGTTGACAGAACCCACAGGCGTAACACCAGACACAAACATCTCTACGACATTCCCTGTGTCCGACTAAACCTTTACAAAAATTCAATGTATGTCAAAGGCCCTAAAATCTGGAACACCCTACCTGAGAACTCTAGAACTGCAGACACATTCATCACCTTCAAAACTACCATTAGAAAACATCTTATCTCCCTGATACACCCTGTCAACTAACTACACAAATACCACCTGGTGGTTCACACTTACACTCACTTGCCCATTTGACCATAAACAGAAATATTAATCTCAATCTTAAAATAATGAATCCTGTGATACTCCAATACTGAAACTATGTACTGTGCCAAAACAAAAGCATTCACATTGCTAAACTCACAAACTAGTATTTAGTCACTTAGCCATAATACCAACTTACCTCATAATTTGTAATATTTTAAAATTAAGAATTAAACTAAGTCTGCCCGAAATGCCTAGCCATGCTAGGTGCTCTAGTGGTACACTCTGTAATCTCTCTCTCTTTTTTTTTTTTAACACAGGGTTTGACAAGGTTAAGGATCCCTAGCTTTATTGACAAGCTATTAACAGGTTAAGGATTCCTAACTTTATTGGCAAGCTAAGAGCTACTACATGTAAACCACACAATAACCAAATTCTGTAAACTCAGCATTGTAATCCTTATAGAGAGTAAACTTTGAATTTGAATTCTTCACTCCTAAAAGATGGTATGCCTCCCTAGCCAGTGCATGAAATTACCACCTCCCTTTCTTCATCGACATTTAAAAGTTCCTCAAAATATTCTCATCATCTACCCAAAATCTCCATCTCCCCATCTACTAACTCCCCTACTCTGTTTTTAACTGACAAATCCATTAGTTCCCTAGGCTTTCTTATCTTGTTTAACTCACTCCAAAAATTTTTCTTATTTTCATTAAAATTTCTTGACAGTACCTCTCCCACTCTATCATCCGCTCTCCTTTTGCACTCTCTCACCACTCTCTTTACCTTTCTTTTACTCTCCATATACTCTACTCTTCTTATAACACTTCTGCTTTGTAAACACCTCTCATAAGCTACCTTTTTCTCTTTTATCACACCCTTTACTTCATCATTCCACCAATCACTCCTCTTTCCTCCTGCATCCACCCTCCTATAACCACAAACTTTTGCCCCACATTCTAATACTGCATTTTTAAAACTATTCCAACCCTCTTCAACCCCCTCCCCCTCTACTCATACCCTCACCAGCCCACCTTTCTGCCAATAGTTGCTTATATTTCACCTGAACTTCCTCCTCCCTTAGTTTATACACTTTCACCTCTCTCTTACCATTTGCTATTATAGTCTACCAATGAAAATGATAGTGAGATATCTTGGCATAAGTGAAAGGATAAAGAGGTAGCTTTTGTTAACTGTTCAAAATGATCCATAATGCTTTGCTGGATATTTTGAATAGATGTTTAAGATTCAAGTCAATTTACTAGAAGTGTGTACATGTACTTATATCCCCCACAGTATCCAGAAATAATGACTGCTGGTGTGTTCAAGCATGCTGGAGCTGATCGTGAAAAACTGAAAGGTGTGAAATTCACTGCTACTTTAATTGGTCATGGATGGTCACAGCAACTGTTAGCTGCATCTGATCAACATGTAGACCCACCTGATTCTTCTCTTCTTGTCACGGTAATGTATAACCGATTCTGATGTAAATACAGTAGGTTCCTGACTCAAGATGTTCCACTTTCATGGCATAAAAACTTTGGAGTCATTTAATGATTTACAAACATGGCCTTGCTCCCCCAATTGTGGAAATACTTGCTGCCACAGGGGCTGGAGGCAGTAGTAGCAGCAGCAATGTTGCTGCCACAGAAGCTAGAGGTAGCAGCAGCAGCACTCGTGCTGCTACTGTTAGCAAACATTGCTGCTGCACACTGTTTACTCTTGATTTCTCATGTTTATTTACAATTATTATATTGTATCTAGTTTCTTGTTTGGACATGGGGATCCAATTAATAAATTAGGTAGATAAGATCTAGTAGTAAGATGAGTACAGTATTGATTTTTTTCTAGGAAACTGCACCTTGTGTCAAAGATTTAAGAAACTAGGAAATAATGAGATTTATCAGTTTTACTTTGCTTAAACCTTGTACTCCCTAGGTACTCTACTCCAAGTGATTGGGAAAGATAGAAAAAGCTTCAACCTTGCTCTATCTAAACTTTGCTTAGTTTGGTTTATACTTATTTTGTCATTATCAGATACATGTTATTATCATGTACAAGATCAAGTATTAGACTGTCCTGGCAAGAACACTGGCTGAGAAACTCGCAACATAATTTGCCATGCTCATAAATTCTCTTCTCACCACTCTTATACAATACCTGCTTAAAATATTACTTTTTATGGAGTATGTGTAGAGCAAACCATTCTTTATAGATTTTTGTTTTTTCCAGAAGAAGCTTTATCAGGTTCTGTTAGAGCAAAACATAGTCTATAAATAAATGTATGCTCTGCACTACAGTTTTTTAACACAATGGCCATCTCCCACCAAGGTAGAGTGGCACAAGAAAGGAGAAAACACATTCACCATCATTCATTCAATTGCTGTTTGGCCAGAAGTGTGCTGACATCATATTGTTGTATTATTCTCGTCAGCAACTCTTGCCTCTCAAATGCCTTAGTATAACTCTTATTCTCTACCTTCCACTCTATACCATCTCTCATTTCTGTTGTGTAGCACTCTCCAAGAATGTAATACCATTATTATTATTGTAGAGTATTCACAAACATTCTCAACTTCTATAGGTCATTCAGAATTGCAGTCTTACTTTTAGTATGTATTTACTTAATATAATGTGCACTGACTAGCAGGTATCTGGACCAGACCCTGCTTATGCTGCCACTTCACTAATGATGGTTGCCACTGCCATGACCATCCTCAGGGAAAAAAGCCTCTGCACAGGGAAGTAAGTCAAAATCCCACCAGGTTTTTCAACAATTTTGTATTGCCTTAATGTGGAGCATTTAGTGTGTTTTTATCTAAGTAATCCAACGGCAACTTATTTTTTCTGGTGCTAAGATATATTCGTTTATATGCCATTAATTTACAGTGGAACCTCAGTACTTGAACTTAATTCGTTCCAGAAAGCTGTTAGAGTGCCGATCTGTTTGAATATTGAACTAATTTTTTCCAACCAATTTTCTTTTTGTTTGGCTGTTATCACTAATCTTCGTAGCCCCCATGGTGACTTATTTATACAATAATATTAAAAAAACCCAAAAATGCAAAAGAACACCAAATAGTTTACAGAAAAGTTCTGGCAGGTTGTGTGTGTTTGGTAGAGTGCTGTGCAAAAGATCAACTACCAAGCGATTTTTTTTTTACCGAACAAAGCATTCGAATACCGAATTGTTCGAGTAGGGTGCTGTTGAAGTACCAAGGTTCCACTGTATTTATATATTTGTGGGGAAGTGCTCAAACTAAAGTGGTCATACAGAGCCTAAACAGTTTTGAGACTCTCTGACTGCGGGTTCAATCCCGGCCGGGGTATGGTTTCTAAACAATAGGTTATAAGGTTTGGTTCGAAGAAAGGAAGAGTAGCTCCAATTTCATGGATGTAGAGCCCTTCACCAGTATCAAATTATTTTTCTTGAATAGTCATCTCCATAATTTGCTGATGTACATGAAGCTTTGCAGATCCAATTCGTATTAACCCCATCACTGTTGAGACCCATTTTTCTTTTTTTAATTATTTTTTCATCTTAAATGGTAAGAGAATCTTTTTTCTGAAGGTAGTGATACCAAAAGTAAAACATTTGATGAAAAACTTGCAGAATTATGCAGGTGCATTCTCAGCACAATTTACACATCAGCCATTTTTTACTGTCTTTGAGTCCTGTTTTAAGCCAAGTTCATTGCTCCAATCGACCAAATTCTTAGCTATTTTGCTAGTAAGCCTTTCTTTCTATCAGTTGAGCATAAGAAATCATCCATTTAATCATTTCAACTACCCTTTAAAGTGCACAGAGGTCAGTAATTTGGCCAGTTTTACACAAAATTAAAAAAATACCAATTTAAAAACATTCCAAAATAAACATTGTAGAAATTCCTGGCACTAAACAGCATTTCCTCTGATCATTAATCACATCCCCAGGCCTCTCCTGTATTATATTTGCTTTCCATTTTGAACTCATAATCGCACAAAAATAGAAGATATACTCTTATTTCTCAGATAATAAAATTTAACCAGAAATGATTGGTCATGGTTTACGGTGTCTTAATAATTGAATCAGACCTATTAAAAATGCATAAAACTGACTGTGGGGTGTAGGGATACCTTACCCGCCCTCAGGAAAATCAAAAAAGATATACAGTGGAACCTCTGCTTGCGAGTTTAATCCATTCCAGGACCTTGCTCGAAACTGGATTTGCTCGTTTGCAGAGTCAATTTTCCTCATTTAAATTAATTGAAATGCAATTAATCCGTTTCAGTGGAATTCTGTACCTCAATAATTTTGCTAATATCAACTCTACGGCTTATTTATCTATCTCACTTCATCTAATATGACATAATAAACAATATAAATAACATAGAAACCTGATATATATACAGTGGTCCCTCAATAATCGCCCGGCCTGAAAGTCTCCCATTTCGGAAATAGTTCCATTATTTCGTCTAAACATTGGCTCGCAAATGGTCCGTTAACTCGCTAATCGTCCTTCATCTGGGACGCGTACTCACGCTCTGAGCCGCCGGGGCCTGCCTTCCCAGCCAGTGTGCCATTGTTTACCAGTGAGTGACGGTCCCCTAACTTGCTCCTACGAAATATTTCATAATATTCCATTGATTTTAGTGCTTGCAAGTGCTAAATAAGCTACCATGGCTCCAAAGAAAGGTTCTAGTGCCAGCCCTTTGGTAAAGAATGTGAGAAACACGTATAATTTATGAAAAAGTTTGTAGAAAAATACAAAGGACGTGGTGGTAGAGTGGAAGCAGTTGTGATAGTGGTTGATGGTGGTAGAAGGTAGTAGTGATGGTGGTAACAGTTGTAATAGTGGTAGAAGGCAGTAGTGATGGTGGTAGAGGGTGCCTTCTTTAGTGATTCAGCGATTCTATCAACTCCTCCAATGTTGTTGGAGTTATATAGGGCTACAGAAAACACCGCCGCCTCAGCTGCTGCTTCACGGCTTGCTCTCAGTGGCCCTTATATACCCAACAACAACACAACACAACACCTCTCATGACATACATAATGACTTATTTTATTCATTCTAGAGTATATTCCATGTTTCTATGTTATTAATATTGTTTATTATGTCATATTAGTTGAATTGTGATAGACAAATAAGCCGTAGAGTTGATATTAGTGTCATATTCTCCAACAATAAACTTACCATCCCTCCCTCACACAAACAAGTCTTCAATAAGAACATAAGAAAGGAGGAACACTGCAGTAGGCCTGCTGGCTCATACTAGGCCAGTCCTTCACAAATCCAACCCACTAACACAACAAATGCTACCCAAGCAATAAGCTCAGGTGCAAGTCTGACTCAAATCCAACCCCTCTCACTCGTGTATTTATCCAACCTAAATTTGAAACTACCCAATATTTTAGCTTCGATCACCCTACTAGGCAGACCGTTCCACTCATCAACTACCCCTATTACCAATGTTCATTTATACATTTTATTAGTGCTTTACATTTATTTGGCATTCTTTTCTGCATGTAAATCTATATTTATGCTAGGGAAGTGACCCCATAAGTGACCTAGAGTCCTTATGGAGGGGGATTCCCCTTCTCTTCCCCCTCTCTTCCTCCCTGTCTTCCTCCCTGTCTTCCATTCATCAACAACAGCCTTCAATAAAGGTAACTGTCATGTTGAATATTCATTCTTTTGTGCATGTAAATCTATCTTTTAGGTAAAAAAAAAAATTGTTGTTGATACTTCTGGATGTCTGGAACGAATTAATTGGATTTACATTATTTCTTATGGGGAAAATTGACTTGAAAATCGTCTATTTCGATAATAGTCCCGCTTCCAGGAACGGATTAAGGACGATAATTGAGGGACCACTGTATACTCTAAAATGAATAAAATATGTAATTCATGTAGTGGTATGGGCGGTGTTGGTGGTGGACAAGTTGGAGACTGGACAAAATGCTTCTTGAATATGTTGGTAATATCATCTGTACAGCTTATTTATCTATCACAGTTCATCTAATATGACATAATAAACAATATAAATAACATAGAAACCTGATGTATACTCTAGAATGAATAAAATATGCCATTATATAACAGGTGGAGGCAGCCACAACCGCTCCCTCTATGTTGTGGTAAACACTGCCATCTAGTGATGGCCTTTTGAAGCAGTCTATTATTATAATTATTATTATGTAGTACATTATTATTATATATGTATTATATTATTATTCTTATTGTATTATATTATTATACTTACTATTATTATTATACCTATTTTTTTTTTTTTTTTTTTTTTTTTTTTTTTCTCTCTCCCAACAAGTCGGCCGTCTCCCACCGAGGCAGGGTGACCCAAAAAGAAAGAAAATCCCCAAAAAGAAAATACTTTCATCATTCAACACTTTCACCTCACACACATAATCACTGTTTTTGCAGAGGTGCTCAGAACACAACAGTTTAGAAGAATATACATATAAAGATACACAACATATTCCTCCAAACTGCTAATATCCCAAACCCCTCCTTTAAAGTGCAGGCATTGTACTTCCCATTTCCAGGACTTGAGTCCGGCTATATAAAAATAACCGGTCTCCCTGAATCCCTTCACTAAATATTACCCTGCTCACACTCCAACAGATCGTCAGGTCCCAAATACCATTCGTCTCCATTCACTCCTATCGAACACGCTCATGCACGCCTGCTGGAAGTCCAAAAAATATAAGATTTACTGTTATGCCATATTGCAATAATTGTATAAATAATGTCAACCCATTCATGACTGCATATTGGAATGGACAGTGACGTCATTTGTTTACTCTCGAACATAGCCAAAACAATTGAACATTTCTCCTGTGTTGAGTTCAATTTCAAGGTACATGTACTTTTCGTCATGAAAGCAATCAAAATCATATCTATTTCTGTAATATATCTTCCAATCTATCAAATGAGACCAAGAAAACGAGAATACAACCATAAAAACCACACGAAAATACCGCTAAGGGGTGGCTAATTGCCGAGAAGTGAACTCCATTATTTATGCTTAGATTTCTTTCATTTTTGGTGTATGTTAAGAAGTATCTTTCCATCATTCATTGTCCAAGTTTCAATAAGATAGTCCAACAAAGAAATGAGATACAATTCCCTAAATCAAGAGTAAGAGCCCCTCACCAGCGTCAAGGAACCTGCCTTGAGGTTTGCTCACTTATGGAAATTTTGTTTGTGTATAGAAACAAAAAATCGACCCATCGACTGCTTGTATTTGGAAAAACTCTCACATGGATATGCTCGCAAGTAGGGGTTCCACTGTATTTCCTCTACTTTGAGCTCGATTTCAAACTACTACTGGTCCTGAAACCAACTAAAATCATCCCTATTTCAGTAGTATGTCTTCCATTCTATTAAATGATATCAAGAAACAGCCAATAAAACTATAAAAACCATCCAAGAAAACACCTCAAAGCCTCTACAGTGGACCCCCGACTTAGGATATTAATCCGTTCAAGAGAGCACATCGTAAGACGAAATTATCGTAAGTCGAATTAATTTTCCCCATAAGAAATAATGGAAGTCAAATTAATCCGTTCAAGACGCCCAAAAGTATGAATAAAAAATTTTTACCACATGAAATATACATTTTCCTACACACAAAAAGGAGGATACATGCACAATATATATTGTGCATATAGTAGTGTACTAAATGAAGAATAAATGACACTTGCCTTTATTGAAGATGTGGTAATGAGTGATGAGACAGTGTCCTAG